CACACACACACACACACACACACACACACACACACACACACACGGGACGCCTGCACCGAGCCTCTGCTGCCAGACTGTGGCCATCAGTAGGACATCCACTGAGGGCTCCCGGACTGAGGGGCAGGCTTGGCTGAGGGAACCCCATCCCCCAGTGCACGAATTTCGTGCACCGGGCCTCTAGTATAAGAATAACCAACTTAAAAATGGATAAGAGATTTGAACATATGCTTCCCCCAAAAATGTATATAGAGAGCAAATAAGTACATAAAATGATGTTCAGCATCACTAGTCATTGGGGAAATGCCAAATGAGGCCCAGCCGGTGTGGCTCAGTGTTTGAGCGTCGACCCAGGAGCCAAGAGGTCATAGTACAACACCAGTTAGGAAAGATGCCCCGGTTATGGTCTCAATCCCCAGTAGGGGACAGGAGGCAGCTGATCAACAATGTGTCTCTCTCATCAATGTTTCTAGCTCTCTGTCCCTCTCCTTCCTCTCTCTCTCTCAAAAAAACACACCAAAAAAACAAAAAAAAACAATTTAAAAAAAGTACAATGAGATAACATTGTACATCTATTAGAATGACTGAAATGATGAACCAACCAGGTGTTGGTGAGGATGTGGAGGAACGGGAACTTCCATACGATCCTGGTAGGCACATACAGTACAACCATTTTGGAAAAGAGTTCGGTAGTTGCATACACTTACCATATGACCCAGATATTCTATTTTTAAGTATTTACCCAAGAGAAATGAAAACATATGTCCATACAGAGACCTGTGAATGCATGTTCACAACACCCAAGATAGCAGCGTAGGTAAACTCTGGTACTCACCACCTTCCACAACTACATCAAAATTTATCAAATTGTACATTTTAGGTATGTGCAGTTTACCACCTGTCAAAAATACCCCCATAATGCTATTAAAAACTACAGAGATGGCCCTGACCTGTTTAGCTCAGTGGATAGAGCGTCAGCCTGCGGACTGAAGGGTCCCGGGTTCGGTTCCAGTCAGGGGCATGTACCTTGGTTGCGGGTACGTCCCTGGTGGGGGGTGTGTAGGAGGTGGCTGATCAATATTCCTCTCTCATCGATGTTTCTGGCTCTCTGTCCTTCTCCCTTCCTCTCTGTAGAAAATCAATAAAATATATTTTAAAAAAT